AGTCTAGGAAGGGAAGAGGGTAGCCAGGCCTCCACCACTAAGCACCTCTTTTCTCCCAGGGTCCTCCTGAGCTTGCCTCCCACTGTGTTCTTCGCCAGCCTCCAGAGGCAGCCAGCAGCCGTGGACTGTGACGAGTTCTTGTGCTGGGTCAATTCTGAGCTGGTGGGTACAGTGCGCTCTGCACCCCTGTGCTCTGTGGGGGAGTATTGGGTGGCTGGGCGCCCGGGTTCCATCCGTGATCGTTCCTTTTGGACTTGCTGAAGGGCAGACTGACAGCCCTTGGCCTTGGCTCCCCTGCTCACAGAATGGTCCAGCTTGAATCACTGGGCCTCCACTGGTCCGTGGTCCTTCCGCTCTGGAGTGTCCCAGGCTTCACCTAGCATGACCTGCCGTACCTCACCTTAGGCACCTGTCCTGGGTACATAGTTTACACACCAACAAGGTCGCTGCTCTCAAGTGACAGGAAGGTGGAGTTCTAGGGAAGCAGAGAAGGGATCCCAGTGACTTCATTCAGCTGCTGTGTGCATGGTCAGCTGAGGGGGACATTGTGCACAGATGGTTAGCTGGGAAAGGGAAGGATATCATTCAAATGGTTGGGGTGGGGAATACTTCGTTCACAGGCAGGTGGGAGGTGGCAAAAAGGAGCACAGAAGGCAGATGCCGCCCTCGGCAGCAGGGCAAGCATTCCACTCTGTGACCACCTGTCCACTGGGCCCTGCGTCTGCATCAAGGCCAGCTCTGAGGAGGCTGGGATGCAGGCCTATCTTCCCGAGTCAGCTTCCACAGTGGGCCCTTGCTCACGTCATGTGCACTGTGGACAGCGGCCCCTGCCCTCTCCTCTCTCACTGGCTTCCCGGTTGTTTCACAGAGAAACTTGTGCTGCCATGGAGGTGCCCTGACTCACGACATCACTGCCCACTTCTTCCGGGTAACACTCTTTCTGAACCTTCTGGCAACATGTGCCTGCTCAGCCGTGTTTAGAAGACAACAAGCCAAGTGTTGAGTCCCACCACATTGTTCCCTAGGGGCTCCTGAGCATATCTGTACGTGATCAAGACCCGTCCTTGCTGGTCAGCCTGACCCTGGCAGCTTGCCAGACAGAGTGTCCGATAATCCTGATCTCTGCCCTGGTAAGCCTGGGGTGCCTGCCTGAGTGGCCCAGGATATACCACCTGGGATCCTGACTGGCTCTCTCCCTGTCTGTGAAGTCCCCCTCAGGGTACGTTACAGGTAACACAATGGCGTGAGTCTTCACTTCTCCAGGTGTCCTCCAGCCTCTTGAGGCTGTTTCAGAGCCGGTGAGCCAGTGTGGGGCAGGACAGGCACTCGTGGGGACACACTGAACACTGTAGGTCAGTGGTGCTCAGTCCAGTTCCACATGCACTGAGCAGTAACTTGGAGCCTACCTCTGCTTCTCTGAGTAGATCCGACTGGCTGGTAGTCTCCCGGATGCTGCCTCAGCTGCCTGACTTTCACATGGCCCGACACTCCAGGCTCATGGATGTGTGTAGGACAGGTAGAACACCGGAAGACCCAGTACCAGACGCTCTTTTTCTCTCAGCGAGTACAAGCCCCCAAATTGTCTGGAGCATTTTGGCTTGTAGCTGAGCAGGGCAAGCCATTAAAACACCCACTCTCAGCCAGCTGAGTGTGTTGCTGGAGACCTCTGAAGTCTAGGCCAGAGGTGCCCCCATGGGCAATAACCCCCAACTAAGGGACTGCTCCACCAGAGGGTCAGGATGCCCCCCAGAGCTGTGTGCACCTGAAGGAGATACATGACACTGAATTTGACGACACAAAGGAACTAGTAGCATCAGGAGGACCCTGGTCACTCAGGTTGATGCAGGGCCCTCACTCCTCAGCTGTGGTGGCCACGCCTGGCGCCAGTGCTCACATGCCAGTGGAGACAGCACCTGCAGAGCCCCCTGCCCCGAGGGCTGCAGCAGCTGGCTGAGGCCCGGGCCCTGGCTTGGAGGTGAGCTTTGCTTCCTGGATGGGGCAGCCGGTTGCTGGGGCCTGTTCCAAGCCCAGGACTTTGGAACCCTTGACAGGCCCGATGTGAAAGGCAAATGACCCCACACCCTCCCCAACCAGGCTGGGAGTGAGGCTCCATTGTGTTCTGGGAAAGATGAGCTATCCCAACCACCTGCCCCTGCAGACAGTGAGTCCCAGGGCTGTGTCCCTGGGGGAAGCTGGATGTGGGGGGGCGAGACTTGGGTGGTGCAAACTCCTCTGAGACCCAGAGACTGTCCCCAGTACCGCTGAGGTCCTCTAGGTCAGTGGTACTCATTGACTTGCTCAATCCAGTTCCGTGAGACAGAGCCCATGGTGCAGAGGCTCCACCAGTGACCAGGCAATCAGACACACCCTACTGCACTGCCCTGGTGGACTGAGGGCCCAGCTCCACCCATCCTTCCCTGCCATCCATAGCCTTAGGAGTCCCTTTATGGGGCTCAAACTTTCCAGGACGCCAAGGGCCCCTCACTGTTGCCCTGGGATTTGGGAGGCTCATAGGCCATGATGTGGTTAAGGCCCCATACTGTTTTTGTTTCCCAAGCTGCCTCTCCCTGGACACAGCCCCACCTACCCCAGCAAGCCAGCCTTCCTGGGTCTCTGCGGCTGCCCTGCACTTAGCCATCCAAGAAGTCTGGAGGGAGCCAGGCAAGAAGGAGCTGCAATGGCTGGACTGGCAACAAGAGGAGGCAAGAACAGCTCTTTGTCGGTGTTCTGACCAGCAAGGATAAGTGGGGCTGGATGGTTCACTGCTTTGGCAAGGGAAACTGTCCATGGGCTTTACACGTAATTGGGCTCCCCAGGCCTGCTGGTGAGATGGTCTGCACTAAGCAGGGGTCCCCACGGTGATCTACTCCAAGCTCCATACGGACAGCAGGGTGGTACAGGAGCAGCCTGGCACCATGTCTGTGTGGTATCAGCCAGGAAAGCCAATGTGCTTATGAGTTCCCCCAATACCAGGAAGGCAGAGGTATATAAGCCCTCCCCACATCCTAGGAGGGCTGTGGAGTGGGCAGAAGACAACTTGTGGGCAGTGCTCCTTTTGTCTAAGGGCACATGATGGTAGGAAGGATCCTCCTGTCCCGGCATATAAAGCAGGCTCAAGCACCATCTTCCTTGGGCCAAGGCATCAGCTGTCAACACCATGTGCTCCTCCTACCCCTGCAGGTGCTGCTGTTCCTCTTATTCTTCTCCATGATGGGTCTGCTCTCAGCACAGCTGGCACCACATGTGAGTCCTGGGCTCCCAGTGGGGCCAGCCTCAAACCCCTTCACTGCTTTCACAAGGAGAGCCCTGGCAGCCAGCACCATTCCCCCGCCCCACAGCCCTGCCCGGGCCCCTTATGTGGGTGTCACCTCATGAAACCTGCTGAGTGCTATGTGTACCCCTTTATCCTAGCCCCGTGGAGCAGCCTCTGCCTATAGTTGGGGTGCTAACCAAGGCAGACGGCTTGATCACTAAGGAGTTCTGAGCACCACCCCCCCAAATTGGAGGTCAGGCCCCCAGCATCTGACCAGCACCTCCTCTCACGCTGCAGGAAGTCAGCGACTCTCTGAGGACAGTGGATGTCTGTGTTCCCATCCTTGAGTGTCTGCAGAAGAGGAAGACAGCTTGGGTGGCACTTTTCCAGTTGACAGAGACAGGTGAGGCCCTTGGCAACCATCAGGTCTCTTGGTTCTACCAACTTAGTCTCAGCTCAGTGGGTTCCAGGGTGCAGGGATGCAGAGTGGGTGTGGCACTGCAGATATTGGGGTGCACCCCCACTTTGCAACGTCCTATTTGGAAGCAACTTTCCAAGTGGCAATAAACATGCTGCAAACCCAGAGGACAAGTCCAGGACAAGCTTCTTTTAAGCAAAAGGGAAGAAATTTATTGGGTCCCAGCACACCCTACTGTGTAGGCATGCCCAGCAAAGGGTCATACCATTCACTGTGCCCCCATGTCCCAGAGGGACTCCCCTCGAGCCGAGCCCCAAAGCCCCAGGACTGCCTGGGGGTGGGGGCATTGACACCCAGAGTGAACCTCTTATTCCCGTGTTGCAGGGGCTGGATTGAGCCGTGTTGCAGGGGCTGGATTGAGCCGGGTGCTGCTCCAAGTGGCCTCTGACCAGCACATCAGGATGCTGCCACTCGCCTTCTTCAGGTAGCGGGACTGTACCAGGCCAGCCCCTCAGTCCCATGACTCACTGTGCATGACACTGTGTACAATCAAGCATTGTGCATGTCTTCCCTTTAAGCCTACTCCCCCATTTGGACCCCGACACCCTTGTCAGGGAGGATGCCTTCCTGCACGTTGCTGTGGACATGTACCTGAAGCTGGTGCGGCTCTTTGTGGCTGGGGAGACCAGTACCCTCCCGACTCAGGCTGCCCAGAGTCAGCAGGACCACCAGGCAAGTGTGGGGCTGTGGGCTGCCCTCTTCCCTCCATCAAACAAGGTCAC